ATGTCACCCTGGGACCCTGGGAGTGCCCAGCAGACCCAGCGGCTTCACCCCCCCCCCACTTCAGCTGGGCAACTCCTGTGCGTCCTGAAGGACCCTCCCTCCCGTGACCGGCCGCTCATCAGTCCTGATATCCGTGCTTCCCTCTGCCCCCCAGCAGGCCTGGGCTGTCCCCGTCACTGTCCCCAAGTCCCCGGCATGGATGGCTTTTACAAGTCTGTCTCCTCTGCCAGCTGGGGGCTTCCTGAGCCCCCTTCACGGCCCCAGCTCTGCCACTGACCGACCCCGAGACCTCGGGAACAAACTGCTTCGTGCTCAGGGGGAGGCCGGGACTCACCTGGTCACACACAAGTTGGTCAGAACAGTGACAAGAGGTCACAGTGCTGGCCCAGGGCCCGGCCTTGGCAGCAGCGGCAGAGGCGGGTGGATCTGCGGTGGCCCTGGTGCCTACCACTCTGCCTGGCACACAGGGGTCTCCAGCAGGGCGCTAGCTCTGCTCACGAAGGTGCCCGGCCCAGAGCGTCTCTCCCTGGTCCATCAATCCTCCATTTGGCGTCCACAGGGTGCCAGGTTCGGGTCCAGGTGCAGGGATGAAGCCGTGAGCAGGACAACCCCTGGGAGAGCCCGTCGCTGTGCGGAATCGGGCAGGACCGGTGACAATAGGGTCACCATTCCAGACAGGCAACCTGAGTTGTACTGTGTGCAAAGGTGACCTCTATGGGAAGCTGTGCCAGAGAGGAGGCAGTGGGCCACGTAGCTCTGTGGGAAGAGCATCGCAGGCAGGAGACAGCAGGTGCAAGGGCCCTGAGGCCAGGCATTGGAGGGAAGTCCAAGGAGCCAGCCTGGCTGCAGCAGGGGAGAGAAGGAGGGGTGGTACGAGGCCGTGGCGGGTAGAGATTGGGTCAGGGCCCAGGAGCGCTACGGTCTTTGCCCTTTGATTTCTGAGCCCAGTGGTAAAATATGGGGTCCCTTCATGGGGTGGCCTCATAAACGCTGAAGTTGATCTTCTTTCCCACGATCCATGAGCTTCATAACACAGGGGCCACCTGTGGGAGTCACCATTATACGGCCAGGGCGTGCCTCACGTGTGTGTGTGTGTGTGTGTGTGTGTGTGTGTGTGTGCCACACAGACATATGTACCTATTTCCGTGTGTATGTGTACCTAATGTGCACACGTATGTCTGCTTTTCGGTGCGGGTCAAGCTGTCCACGACACTGAGTCGTTCCCCACCCCACCCTGAACTGTGGAGCGGGTGACGGAGACCTTGGGTCTGAGGGCTCCTTCCCAGAAGGTGGCCTGTCTCTGACAACGGTGATCAGGCCGCCACCATCTCCTTGGCTGGGAGGAGGCGCTGGGGAGATTTCCCCTTTAGAGGACGGGCCTCTGACTGAAGCTCTGCTGAAGTGACATCCACTGACGGTCTGGCCCCTCCTCTCCCCGACCAGGCACCAGGCACTGAGTGGCTGGTGTGCGTGGAGGGGAGCGGCGTGTCCCACGTGATCATCTGAGCAGACCCAAGGTCCTGCGGCCTCTTAAACTAGAGAGCGACTAAGC